TGAATGTATTATACATATATATATATTCTATAATATATGGGTACATGTATATATCATTTAAGATAATTAAATTATTATTCTTATTTGATATATTATAGTAGGCTGGTTATTAAATTAATCTTATGCATATAATATGCATGAAATGGTTATGTGTGAATTAATTTATTTTTAAGTTTAAAGTTGATACATAGTTGAATTGTAGGCATGGATGAGTTGTCATAGGCGTAAGTATTTTACCTAAGTATTTGTATGAATAAAATACATACACAGAAAGTATGGTTGAATTGTTAATTTAAAAGTATAAATATATATACTTAAAGGAGGCATGGTTGAGTTGTCAATGTATAAATAAATATATTTATAATGATATGGTTGATTTGCCAAATGTGTAAATAAATATACTTGTGGAGGCATGGTTGAATTGCTAATATATAAATAAATATATTTATAATGGCATGGTTTATTTGCCAAAGCATAGTTGAATTGGATGATTAAAATTTCATATATGGTTATTGAATGTGTAAGTTGAATTAGGATTAAATATTCTTATATTAGAATAATCTAGTATTTAAAGGTTAGTATATTATTTTATATTAATAAAATAATATTGGTGCAGACATGAATGATTTGTCAAAACTTGGATATTGGATATGTGATTTAAATAATTACAATTATTATTAGGGATTGGATTAAATATATTTTTTCTTTAATTATATTTTATTATTTAATGGTTTAATAATTGTTTAGGATTGAATTAAGGTTAAATGAATTTCTTTAAAAGAAATTGTGATTTGGTCTAGGAATGATTATTAATTTAATCATTGTTTAATGGTTTTAAATTTAATGAACCTATTAATGGATATGATTAGTGTATTATATATAATTATTTATACATATGTGTATCATTGTTTATTAAAGATAAAAACTTTAATAGGATTGGTTTTGGTGAAAAATGATTTGCTTATTGGTTTTCAGAGGCCTGGTAGAGAGAGCTTGCTCGTAGGGTTTAACCCACGATTTGTTTTTCAGGTTATTAGAAGTTCCAAGTCTCAAGGTTGAGGATCCGTAACTGGAGGACTTATCCATTCTTTCAGTTTATTCCAAAGTAGGATGATAAAATTATTTAATTTATAATTTACTGGATTATTAACTATTGTTTTAGGGGTCCTTGCATTATGGGATTCCCGAGCTGTATTTTTGGAGAAGTATTGATGAAAATATTATTTAATAGTTTTCCTCAATGAGTTATTTATTCTTTTTATTTTTTCTTATATTCTGTGCTTGTTTAAATACTTTAATTGTTTTTATATCCCCTGGTTTTGTGCGCGGACTTGATCAACCCGTGTCCCGAAATTAGGGGGTATCACAGATTCTGGCTTCAAGTTATTAAACCAGACATAGGCTGACCCTTTGAGGGTAGTAGGGAACGCCCTGCATATGATCTCATTTGGGACCGCTTGTAAGTTCATTAGTGACTTGAAAGTTTCCAGGTGATCGAGTGGGCCACGGGTTCCGTCGAAACTCTCAAGATAGGGCATCTTGAACTTCCTTGGCAATGGCAGAGCCATCACCCGAGGATTAAAAGGTAGATTTTTCTGCTGATCAACGTGGGTAGCTTCGGGCGTTCTCCAACATCGGAGACATCTTTTCGGCGACGAGCTGTCTGTGCACCAGAAATCTTCTGTTGTGGAGAATGAGCCGTTGAAGCACGACGGTTTCTTCATCTACCTCCCGTATGGCTGTGCCCAACTCTGTCATCATCGTCGTCACCTTCCATGACGGGTTTTGCAGGGATAGCTAAGTGGCGCATGATTGCTGCATTTTGCTGGACCAGTTGGTTCATACCTTGACTAAGGTTCTGAACATGTTGTTCCAATGCTGCAACACGTTCGCCGTCTTCCGGAGCACGCCTTAACACGCTCTCATGATGGGATGCATGCTCGGAATGTTCTCCCCTTAGGTGGTCGTCCCCGAGGCGAAGTTAGTTGTGGTGATGGTGTAATTGACGGTCACTATCATGATGCGACTGGTTCATACCATGCTTATGATGGTGACTGTCATCACCGTGCGATTGATTTCCACCATCAGGTTGATGGTGGCTGCTACCATCATGTGATTGGTCTTGGTGGCTTCCTCCATCAAGACGCAAGGGGTGCTGACTTCCTTCTCCAAGATGGACTCCGGATCACAACATCATTGTTATTCTAGGAAACTAATATCGTTTCCCACAGACAGCGCCAACTGATGATGCGAGATTCTGCGGTGACCCGAAGCGACATCGTACCTAAAAATGGAAGAGAAAGATGATCGAGTATCGGAGTGATACCGGCCTAAAAGCCTCCGACAATCAAGTCAGTGCTAGATTAGGAGGGTGGAAAGAAAGGTCAAAGCTCTCTTAGGGATTTGTGTCGTACCTTTTATGTTAACCTGAAAGCCCTCTTTATGGGGGTGTCAAGTTGTATTAAAGGAGGAGGAGTATTCCTTATATTTTTCCAACACGAAAGGGAGAACGTATTCTTATCCTTATCCAAGATAGTGGAGTTTATCTTGATTTACAGCTTTGTGTGACGGTCAAACTTCCTAGCTGAAGACTCCTCATCATTCGTGATTGACGTTCCGTTAAATGAGATGTGAAATATCAAATTTGACCTTACTATTTAAAATTAAATTAAAAGCTATAATTATTATTTTAACATATATTAGAAAATTTTAAATTATGAGTGACACCCTAGGAAATGTATAACTCTCAACTTAGAGACAGATAACAAAATGTAAGGAGAAATATATAGAAAGTAATTTTTTATTACACTTTTTCAAAATGGAAAAAAAATCTTTAAAAGTGGGTTAAATATATACATAACACCACTATATTATGATATTATTAGCACACACACTCCCTTGGGCATTTTCGGATGAGTAAAAGGGCAAAACGGCATTCCAACATTACTTTATGTCATATATTTGTCTGAGAGTTTTTTTCGTACATTGTTAAAAGAATAAGGAGGTTATTAGCACACTTTTTCAAATAGAGAGTGAAAGTGTTACGCAAAATATATATTGTGGGTATACTATATATATATATATATATATATATATATATATATATGTAATATATGGAGTTGTGTCGGGAGCCTTTCTCTCCGATTTTTGTTCCCGATCGGAGTTGTGTCATTTGGTGCTAAAAATCAACAGATTCTTCTCTCCGTTTTCCACCGACGGAGCCAAATGAAGATGCAAGAAAACTACTTTTTGTATTAGGAAAGTCTTTTCTTACACTCCAAACAATCTGCCTCCATTTCTTTTGCTAATTTCTATTTATAGAAGTGTATATTTGTCCTAAAATTTCTTTCTTGGCTTCCAGGCCTGACCACACTACAAGAATTATAGGTATTTGTGACGTATTCTAGGCACAGGACAAAAACTGTCACTAAATATATCCTTTTTAGGGGTAAAGTGCAAAAAACTCCCCCTAAACTTTACTCTTTCTCACTAAAAACCCCCCCTGAACTTCTATTTTAACAATAAACCTTCTAAACTATTTCAATTTTTACAGTAAACACCAGGTAACACTGTTCCGGCAGGTTTTCTCCGTAAGATGCACATGTGGCCTATGCTGCAATTTGAAAATGGCAATTTTATCCTTATTGAATAAATCCCCAAATTGAACCCTTTTTCAGTCTACAGTAAACCATACCTCCCCATAACTTCCTTCCCTAATGCCATCTTTCTCATGAAGGTCTCAGTCTCTATAAACACTCTCCAACCATTAAACAATCAGTAACGTCCCTCTTAAAATCGTGATACAGAGGAAATAAGTATACAAGTCATATGTGTGTGTGTGTGTGTGTGTGTATATATATATAGTTACACAAACCTAAGACCCATCTCATGGATCCCTTCACAAAATTCAAATACACCTTTGATCTATTTATCTTTTTCTGATTTTTCAAAATTGCCTAGTTGCTTCTTTCTTTGACGTGCCTCCAAAATTTCTCTCTTCTGCCAGTTTCCACCGGCCCCGTCTACGCCGGCGCAATATCGCCTCCCCTTACCACCACTCAACAGAGGGCACTTTTCATAACCGACCATCACTATCGTAATACATATATATATATATAGTTGAATAGAGGCCTTTTAACAAGCTAGACCACGGATCACCACTATTTTCTTCTCCAAATTCAAGTTCTCCAATTGGTGTCGCAGCCGGCAATTTGTTTGTGACATGGCCATTGCTCGTGGAAGAGTTTTACAAGGAGAAGTTAATTACTCAAGTGTTGAAGATTGGAGTCAGAGGTGTGGAATTCCAGATTTAGGATTATTGTGGGGAGAGACAAGATAGAGAGAGTTGTAGGTCGATTGATGGACGTTCGGCAAAATCCAGAGCTTTACTTCGCCAAATCAGGTTCCAATCAAAATATCCGAAGTCGGCACCCGTTGTCGCCGGTGATGGTCGTTGGCTGGTTCAATTGACGGAGGTTGTGATTGGTCGGTGATTCATGTGTTGCCGGATAAGGATAGCGTACATATGGAGAGAGTAGAGAGAGAGAGAGAGCGTAAGGAGGTGTTTGGCTGCTAACATGAAGTAGTGTTTGTGATATATATATATATATATATGGTGATGTGCTGGCAGATTCCTATTGGATATTGAGATTGGATTTTGATAAAACAATAAACCAGCGTCGTTTGGTCATAGGATAAAATGGTAATCTTCTATTTCCGGTTAACTCTGGTGACAGTGACTTTTAATTTTGTCCTTAAACGCAACTTTTTAATAGTTCAGGGGGGCAATGCTTAATTAAGGGGGGTTTTGTATAATTGCCTAATAGTACAAGGGATTTATTGCACTTTACCCCTTTTTTAGGGACGGTAAAAGCAAAAACTTAAATTCCATTTTTTTTTTTTAATAAAAATTAAATATAAAATGGGCTCTAGGGACGCTAAATGGACTGTCAATAATTCTCTATTGAGTAACGATGTAGTTTTGGCCCCTTTGTATATATATAGATCGTAACCGACTGGCAACCCTCTACATCTCTCTCACTTTGTTCTCTCTCGCGGTGCCCTATCTTTCTCCTGTCGCCCCCCTCTCTCTTTCTCTGAAGTCTGAAGACGATGACCATACCGATGCCGATGGCCTTATATCTCACTCACAAACATTTGGTTTGGTTCAATCCGTATTCCACATCAGATCATTCCGTTCGATTCAATCTCTTTGTTTCCAGTTGAAGCCCTAATACCTCACTCTCACTCCCACTCACTCTCATTCGGTTCAATATTTGTATTCGACATCAAATCGAATTGCTCCAGGTATTTCTTTCTCTATATATATATATCGATATGGCTCTTGATGTTGTGAGAATTAGTTCTTTACTTCAGGCGACTTGAGTTAGCAGGTTGTTATATAAGTTTAAGTTTCTGTGTTTAAGGTCATTTTTAAAAAATCACGTGTAACAGTTCTTCAACATTTTGCTAATTAAGTCAATTAGTATAGATGATATTGTTATGGATCGGCAATTTCATTGTGAATAATTGCAAAAGGCCTAACAATTAATAAGTTGTAATTGAGTTGTAAATTTTCAAGGCACTGTGTTCCTAATTGTAATTATTTTCATGTGGGTAGCTAATAAATTCTTGAGAGAATCTGAATTCTTGTTTGACTTTCACTTTCACCACTGATTTAGCTTAATCTGTAAGCCAATCGGTGTCTTTATCCAATAATTATTCGTTTAGATGACTGCATTTGCTGTTTTTAATTTTTTCCTCATATACTACATCTAATGGAGATAGATTCGGCTTCAATACTTGAAGATCAAGAGTCTGTATCTGAAATATGCTTTTAGTTCCGTAGATATAAAGTAGTTATGTATATGTTCGACAAGATGTTCGTGTGTTTTTTTTTTTTTTTTTTTATATCCTAATTTTATTTTGTTCACTGCCTTTTTCTTCTTTTTTTTTCCTGAAAACCTGAATTTTTAATTAGGACAGTTTTATTATTTACTAAAAAACTTTGATTGGTTTTTTTTGGGACAAGTAACTTTGATTAGATTTGCGTTTTACATTACTTTGAAACCTGCCTGTTGAATCAAAGGGTCTGTTTGTAGTAGTTGAATGGCTTTGACCAAGAAATTTTCTCTCTAAATGATTTTAGAAAGCAAGATGTTTGATTTGTACTATGATGTTATCTTTATTTTTTTTAAAAGTTAATTGTGTGTATGTACAGGTATGCAGAAATCCAAGATAGGTCATTGTTATGACAGCTACGGTGAACATCCCAAGATTATTTTGGATCTCTGTAGACACTTTGCAAGTCCTCATATAGTGGTTAGAAGCACTGTATGTTCTCTATTTTTGTGACTTTTTCAGTACAAATTTTTTTTTTATTATAAATTTTGTCAATTCTCAATTTTGGGTATGCAACAAAAACAAATTTTAGCAGTTCAAATCACTCACTAGTCGTAAATTTGTTCATTCAAGTGTGTTCCTAATTGTAATTATTTTCATGTGGGTAACTATTGAATTTGATACTTTTAGGGTAAAATTAATATTATTTATGTACAAATTTGTAGATTTCTTCATATGGGTATGTCTGATTTTTTTATACTAACTTTGTTGTTACTTGTTACAGGTGCATCATGCATGTATTGCCTAGAGGGATGTTTGGCTTCTCAACTTTTGGAATAGCAGTGGCACTTTTGGAAGACGTAAGAGAGATCACAAGAAATGGGGCCAAATTTGTGGATGGACAAGAGAGGGAGTATGCACAATGCCATTTCCATCCATTCCATATATTAATCATGTTGCATTTCATGTAGTTTCATGATTTTTTAGCACTATCTCTGATTGTTATTTTTTAGCACTATCTTTGATTGTTATTTTTTACTAGTATGTCATATTTATGTCTTCTTTCCCCCTTTTTTTTCTTTTTCCTCCGTAGAAAATCGAAGAGTGGAACCAATGAATTATTTTACATTCACCAGCATGAACCTGACTTTTGCGAGTTGTTCATAATAAGTGGTGGGAAACTTGTTACCTTGAGAGATGAAAATAATGGAGAATTTATAGAGGATGATAAATGACTTGTGGTATATAGCTAAGATGAGAGACAGGGTTAGTTTCAAAGTCCTGCTCAGAAAAATGTTTCCTGAAACTGCTACTAGTGAAAAATTTCTTGATAAAGGACTGTGATTATTGCCAATCTAGGATTTTGTCATGGTTTGCAAACAGAAATTAGAAGTTTAGTTGCAATTAATTATGTTTTTTTAATTTGGGAAAGGTATATTTCAATTCATCTCTTAATCTTGATTGTAGTGTTATTTAGTTGGTAGGTTAATATATGATTAATTGTTTTTGGGAAAATTTCCTATCATTAATGGCTTAGGTCCAATTTTGAATGGTGGTGTGCGCTATTAAATTTGGTCATCATTTATATTTCAATTATAATTCTAAAAAATGTTTTTATCTAAATTGCAGGATAAAATGGTAGAAAAGTCGTCATAAGCTGCTTTAAATTCTGATGGCACCATTCCAGAGAAAAAAGATGCAGTGATAATGCATAACCAGCTCTAACAGATGCTCGTGGGTTGTCATGTGGCTTCATGGTTGCAAGTTCTTCAAGTTGTCATCTTTCATCTTATGAAGAGGTTGTTATTTACCTTTCGGTGGAAGTCACAACAACTCGAACGGCCAACATGGTTCTCTTTTCTTTAGTCAATTGAATATTTAAGACATTTGAATTTTTGCTGTATTTTCTTTGGTTAATAGCATGTGTTGTAAATATTTTATCATAATGAACTATAAAGAGAATTCTTTTGGTACATATGATTTTTTTGGGCTGCATGCATTTGGTTTAACATGATGTTTTAATTTTTGAGGATGTTTGGAACCATTTGATTTTAATATATATATATATATATATAACAACACAAATCTAGAAGAGCAAAGAAAAATAAAATAGAATAAAATAAAAATCTATTGTCTATTAGGGACCATACTCAAAAACTGTCTCTAATATATAAACTATTAGGGACAGTAGGTACTATCCCTAATACAGTTAGGGACGGTGCAATAATTAGTGATCAATTATTAGGGACGGTCTTGGGTCGTTTAGGGGCAGATTGAACTGTCACTGAAAATCAAATTTCTTGTAGGAGAGTTGGGTGAAAGCTCGGAGGAGTAGAGCCTGGTAATTGCCTTACTCTGCTTCTGTTGGGTGGACTTGGGTGGGAATGGCCTCATGAGCCACTGGGTCTTTGGTTGGGCTCATGACTGACTGTGATCAATACCAAAAAATAAATAAATAAAGGTAATCAAACACTAGTCATATATAATTGATGAGAATCATACAATACAGGTACAAATATTTCAAAGATCAAATGCAAATAAAAAGACACAAAACAAAAGGTTCTAATGCAAATGACAAATCATAAAGATGAAATTCTGTACACAAGTGCTGATAACTCGGCCACTTGGATTAAGGTACGTACCGTCTACGCTTGCTAGCTAGCTAGCTACTTTGATGCACGTATGGAGTAGATGGTCTGCAAAAGCGCGAACATGAAAATGAATAGAGCACCAATGACTGATATCACTATCCATAAATTACCACCCAAATGCCGCGTCACCGTTGCCAATTGTTCACGAAAAGCGGTGCGGAAACGCTTCATCTCATTCCGTAGCTCAAGGTAATGGAAAGGTCGTGGATCAGTAATATTCTTGATAATTCCGTTAAAGATTTGCGCCACCGATTCACGTGAACCCAAATGGTTACATAGGACTTCTTTTTTCTCAAGCAATTTAACATCATCCACCGAATCTATTAGGATATCCATGAGAAAAGCATGGGACGTGAAGGAACTCTTAATCCAAGGGCAACATTGCTCGAAAGCAATAAGGTTTCTCAACAATGAGTCGGTGAAATTATAAACGCAGAAACGTGGGATTTCAAGCCGACCTCTCCAAAAACACCACAAACTATCACGACCCCTAAACCGAACATCAAACAGGTTCTTTGTTTTATGTTTCCGCAACTTGACTCCTTCAAAGTAAAGTTGCGTTCCTGTACCCGGTTTCTTCAGGTGCCATGGACATGCCCCTGACACTCCTCCTCCTCCTGCAATATTTTGGTCGACGGGTTGAGTTGCTTCGTGTCTCGTGCTAGGTTGCTCCTGGTGAGGCGCACGGCCTGGTACTCCACCTCCTCTTCCTCCTGGTTGGTAGCAAATGTGCAAGTGGGGGTATATGATAAGGAGTAGGAGTCCCATTCCTTTTCCCATTCTGGCTGACGGGTTGAGTTACTCCTGGCGAGGTGCACTGACTGGTACTACCTTGGGGTTCGTTAAAATGGCGAGGTGCATCATCATCATCCTCAACAACTGGTTGGTGGCAAATGTGTAAGAGATGGAGTATATGATAAGGATCACGAGTTCTATCCTTTTTTTTGAAGTCAACTGTATCTTCCAAGCCCATTCTATCACCGAAAAATGAGAGGATACATTCAATAAGGTTAGCACTACTACTACCACTTACAGGTTCCATAGATTCCACCGTGAGGCGGAACAATTCTTCAAGAGCAATGAAGGGAATCTGGTTCTCAAGCAGTAGCAAGTCACGTAGTATGGCAGAGTGCCTGAAAGCATCCTGCAAGATTGGCTCTTTTTCCTTCTTGTAATGCCTGTATATAAGTTCGATAATGAAGCAACCATCAATTAGCATCATTTCTACAAGACGACTACTACTGGTGTCATCGTCAACCACCTCCTGCAGCAGCTTACAATCTGGATATCATTTCTTGAAATCTTCTTCCTTCCTTAACATTGCTTCCACACAATCTTTTCTTGTTTGCTCGAAATTTTGTGTTCGTTCAAACAAGAAATGCATGTAGCTCACCTTGTCGGCCTCCATTGTTTTCAGAAATTCATTTCTGTTGTGGAGAGGCCCAATAGATACGACGCTAGGGGTGTAAGCTTTTCCATTTTCTTCACGGAGCATATTGGGGACACTTTTTATGACCGGTAACCGTGGCCAGGCATTATCCTGCCTGAACAGGAGGTCATAGTTTTGTCTGTTGTCTTTGATCTTAATCACTACAGACTCCATAACCCTATTAAAGCTTTCTTCTTTGATCTCCATCACCGATCAGCAAGCATATATCTGGATCTATAGCTTAATTTTACTCTCCATCGCTTAATATATGTTTCATGTCAGGACTTTTTGTTTTGAGCAAGCCAAAACTTACTCCATGATTAATGATTGATGAACGTATATAGTCCACAATATCTGTCATGGTAGTGTCATTTCTCATTCACATAAATATATAGTCTATCACAACGTCATCTCTCTCTCATATAAATATATAGTGTATAATATCAGCCAACAAGATGACGTCATCTCTCACACATAAATGTAGCCAGATGTATTTAATTTTTGAACACTGTATTGCAATTTAATTTATAATAAGATCATATTCATAATATTAGTAGTGTTTTATAGAGAAATAAAAACATTCATATGACCCACCATTCATATGAGATTAAGAAAAAAATAATACTGAAAAATGTAGAGTAGTGACTCGACGAAAGAGTATTAATTTTATTAAAAAGAACCTGTTGCACATTCATATATGGTAAGCCAACACCAATTATGTCACGCCCCAAAAATTCTAACACAAGAACCCTTGTCTTATACTAAAAATTGATACGTGACTCACATCATACATCCACAATAATCCATGATTAAATCAGTAAGAATACATTTTATTTAAAAATCCATCAATCCAACAGAAATCTATTACATCCCCAACAAAATAGATTTTCACCAACTAATTGAACCTTATTACAAAATATTTTGCTAAAAAACAGTAATACAATCAAAATGTGGAAAATCCGAAAAATCTTCATCTCCCGTTAAGCCTCATTTGCAAGCGAAATCCATATGTACCTGAAAGTGATAAAGGGGTGAGCTCACAAGCTTAGTAAGAAATTGCTAAACACTATTATCGTTCAACAAGACAATCCTTACTTATAATCTATATATATATATATATATATATATATATATATATATATATACACATATAAGTGACTACGAAATATTTACAAATCATCATCATTCTATAACATTATATGGTCGAGAGATTATTATATGGTCTCAGCTAATCACCATTTACCATCCGTATACAAAAATTAAATAAAGCTTACACATGCATTTCAAGATTTTCATAAACAAATGCACATTTCAAGATTTTCATAAACAAAGCAAGGCATGGATCATGGATGGGTAGAGAATAGGTACGTACTGTCTGCCCTTGCTAGCTAGCTACTTTGATCCACGTATGGAGTAGATGGTCTGCAAAAGCGTGAACATGAAAATGAATAGAGCACCAATGACTGATATCACTATCCATAAATTACCACCCAAATGCCGCATCACCGTTGCCAATTGTTCACGAAAAGGGGTGTGGAAACGCTTCATCTCATTCCATAGCTCAAGGTAATGGAAAGGTCGTTGATCAGTAATATTCTTGATAATTCCTTTAAAGATTTGCGCCACCAATTCACGTGAACCCAAATGGTTACATAGGACTCCTTTTTTCTCAAGCAATTTAACATCATCCACCGAATCTATTAAGACATCCATGAGAAAAGCATGAGACGTGAAGGAACTCTTAATCCAAGGGCAACATTGCTCGAAAGCAATAAGGTTTCTCAAGAATGAGTCGCTGAAATTATAAATGCAGAAACGTGGGATTTCAAGCCGACCTCCAAAAACACCACAAACTATCACGACCCCTAAACTGAACATCAAACAGGGTCTTTGTTTTATGTTTCCGCAACTTGAATCCTTTAAAGTAAAGTTGTGTTGCTGTACCATGGTATCCCGGTTTCATCAGGTGAGATGGACATGCACACTCCTCCTCTTCCTCCTCCTCCTCCTTCTCCTGCAATAAACCTGTTAACATAATTAGATTATAGCCGTTGTATAGATTGTTAACATAGTTAGATTATATTATAGCCGTTGTATAGATTGTAGCCAAGATTATTGTATAGCCGTTGGTGATCTTTCACCTATTTATACCTCTCCTTGTACATGATTTATACATACTTGATAATACAGAACATATTCAACATATATCTATGTTATTCTTTTATATTCAACATGGTATCAGAGCCACCGATTGATGGCCTGTACTGAACAATCTGTTCATTGTCGCCTTCTCACCATTGTATCGCTTATATGTTCTTTATCACAATCTGCACCATTATTATTATTATTTTTTCCTCTATATTATTCCTGAAATTGTTATTTGAAAATTTCATATTATTCCAAAAATCAAAACTCAGTTTGCATCACCCGCTGTTCCAGTTGGGTTCGTCGTTTGCAAGCTTCTTCGTCTTTCAGTTTCCATCACCAACTGTTCCAATTGGGTTCGCCATTCGTGTAATGACCAGGATTTTCACGGATATTTTTTTTTCCGTTGTCTTTCCTTTCTGAGTTCAGTTCCTCTTCGCTTAGTGTCGTCTCGAGTGCTCTGGAGTGATTTCTGAGACTCTTTTCTGTGGATTGACAATTTCCTTTGAGGACCAAGTCGTTTTCACATTTTTCGTTTTTCGACATTATTCACTTTTCGTCTTTTTCCTTATTTCGTCCTTTTCCCTATTTTGTCTTTTCCCCGTTTGACACTTTGTTAGCGTAACCACACATCTTGTGTTCGGAGTTGATTTTTGACTTCATGTATCTCTATCTTGAGTGGTTTCCACGAAATACGTATCTTTACTTTTGCAAGAAAGTACTCTGGTTGCTCCCAGTGTCCATAGGGGCATGGATGCAAAGTTCTTTGAAATTATTTTTTTTCTTGGGGTGTTTTTCGTAAATATCTTTTGAAGATATTTTATTTCAGGGTTTTTTAAGAAAATATTTTTGGAAGATATTTTCATTCTGGGCCATTAGTGCAGTTTTCACTTTTTGGAGGGGCCATTGTGCAATTAATAAAAATTATTGCTAAATGCCTTGTTTTAAGCCTGAATCCTCGTATGGGATTCATTTTCACTTTTCGTCGAATTGTGTACTCTTAGAAATTCCTTCTGGTCATTGTTTTCCAGTTTCAGGGTTTCTGGCCCCGGTTAGCGCCAAACTTGTTTGGGGCATAACTTTCTGCTCGGAACTCAGTTTTTGACGTCATTTATTCCGTTATTCATATTTTCTCATTTTAAATATTTTTCGTTCACAAAGTTTTGTCATTTGAGCTCGTCTGCTCAAATTTTACTTTTTTGGACCCGGCGGGGCCCGTTCAGAGCACTTTTTGAGATTTCTATAAAAAGGGGGTGAGATATTTCATTTTTCGTCTTCTCCCCTCTTCATGCACGACTTGGAGCTCCCATGGCAGCCCAAGGGGTGCTGCCATCTTCTCTCTCCTCTTTTGGTTCACTTTTCATTGATGGAAAGTCTTTGGCCTTAGCGTTTGTTGTTCCCCTCGCCGTGCTCTACCTTTCCCCCTTATTAGAATTCAATTTTGACCAGTTCTTGAGTTTGGTTTTGAGATCAAGTTATGATTTTGATGGGGCTTTTATGGGGGTTATGTTCACGGCGTTGTCCCCGACAAAACCTAGTAGTTTTGTCAGATTCGGAGCCGTTCCATTTTGATGGCTTTTGAGATTTTCATCTCAAATTAAGGTAGGAAATGTTTTAGGATTTTATATGTGTTGTATTGAGTGTTTCTCATGATTATACAACTTATATGTATGCCTTGTATCAAATTTAGAAAGTTAATAATTTTTATTTCTTTGTATAAAATTTAAAATTCATGATGATATATAACTTTGATTTGAATTGTGGCATGCTAGAAAATCATGTTTTAATATATTTGCTAACATATATTAAATTGCTATTGATTGAATAAAAATTTCATATTTTATTTAATATTTATCGTTTGTGAAAGATTAAATCACATGGCCGTACCTTGCATGAAATTGACTTGTGATATGCTTTTAAATTATGTCTTGGCATGTTGTTTAACATATTATAATTTGAGAGCATTTGGACAAGTATGAAAATCTAGAGATTTTAATTAAAATGATTAATTAAAATCTAATTAAGGGTTCAATTGGCCTAATTAAGTGTTTAACTTGATATTTGTGATAACTATGACTTATGTTCTAGCATATGTTAATTTGGAACCATTTGATGTTGTTTTAGAAGTTAGGGATTTGATTATCATGATTTAATTAAATTCCATTTTATTGTTCTTATGGCCTAATCGAGTTTTGATGTGGTGTATATAATGACCATGCTATATTGTTTATCATGTATTAATTGGAGGCCATTTGATTGAGATTTGAAACCTAGGGAATTTAATTAGTTTATTGATTAAATTCCGTTCCTATTGTATTATTGATTAACTCATGTATTTGACATTGATAGTATGTTTAAAGCATGACTTTTGACTTATAATGGATTTATGAGTTATGTTTCAACATTAGATTATATTGTTATAGCGCGTAACGAATCGCGCTCTAAAGATTCGACATGTGATGTTATTATAGCGCGTAACAAATCGCGCTCTGAAGATTCGACATTGTCATCCTATAGTTGTTGTGGATTTAGAGCATGTGTTGTGTGGTTACAACCTACTTATGCATGAAGGTAGTTTCGTGTACTGTTTAATACGTATATAAGTTGTTAACTTATTTATTTTGGAGTCTTGGGACATTGTTATTGTGATATGGCTAAAGTTCGGCTTTAGTGCGGGAGGTATGAGTTCTCCCCAATTGAGATAGTGCGCACTAAGGTAGTCTTCCCAGCGGGTTAATGCCCGGAATAACCAATTTGTTCTTGATTTAGTCCGAGACGTGATGTCCAAGTCTTCCACTATTTGATTTCACATTCAATTCCAAATTGACAACCAATGTTTAATTGTGACTTGTGGTTTTGGTAATTGGTGATTTGATGTTGTTAAGTACATCCATACTAAATTAATATATTTAATTAACTTCACACTTTTAGATTGCTAGTTGATAACCTAGAGAATCTATGTCTTGATGTGTGGTATTAGATATTCTAATTATGCTAAATTGTTATATTTAGTTAATGTTGCATTTTAGACTTCAAGTTGATAACCTTGAGAACCACTATGT